TTCATGATTTCATCGTGAAATCATTCCATTTTGTAGATCTCTTCAAGTTCCACCAAGAACACACAAGAACACACACTAGTGTTCTTGGCCAAACTGACCATCAAGCTCCTAGATCGTAGTACTCTTGTTCTAACTCATTGTATACTATTTAACATGTTTGAGCTTAGAAATCATCAAGAATATAAGAACAAAGAGTTTACGGCCAAGGATGTTCTTGGTCCGTAAACCCTTCTTAAGGTGGTTAAATAGACCTAGTCCCTTCCTAAGCTTGGATGCTATCTTGGATCTTTCCTTGAAGTTTTAGGACCTTAAACAACAAGAAACCATGTCCCCATAAGAGTTTAGGGCCGTAAATACATAAGGAGATGGTCCTTAGGGCGTAAACTCTACAAGGTGGTGATATTGTGCCCCTAATGCTTCCTAAGGCTTAGACTTGATCATGGTTGTGCTCAATCTTGACTTAGAAGACTTAATCAAACAAATGCACTTAGTAACATGAGTTTACGGCTTAAACTCTGGGGGGGAAGTGACCTTAGGCCGTAAATCCAGAAGGAGTGGGCCTTGGGCAATAACTCCAATGCCATGCCATACAAACCTTAATGCAAACCTTTGGTACCAATAAAACCTTGAATCAAAGTGTTTTCCATGTCCCTAGGTGTTTTAACTTGGTTAACTAGTTGTTAATGACTAATTAGATACATATATGGTTATTATATGTTAATAGGATATTGTGTGTGTCCAAGTCCTCACTTGACACTTAAACCTTTAACGATCCTACTATCGCATCACTCATTTCAGGTGAGTTCATACCCCTTAAACAACCTGTTAAATGCTTTTTGCAATGCTTTTAAATGCTTTATGGGGGGGGGGACTACAAGTTGAATATCATAGTTATGGTATCCTCACATATGATTAATAACTATCAAACGATGGAGTTTACTATGCCGTCAAACCGTTTTATATCAACAAACTACTTTTAAAATCGTTTAAAACGGACATCAAGTCATGACTATTTGATTGTTTCAAACTCTTTAAATGTGATAAAAAACCTCTTTTTCACTATGTATTCATAGAAACCATGTCTATACACTATGTAGTGAGTAGATATATATATAAATGTATTAGATAAGATGGTTTGTGTCTTCAGATCCACACCTTGTATACAAGAGTGTATAAACATACATGGCACTTCAAACACATTACTAGAAACTATAATAGTATAGTTGGGGAAATACTACTTAACTATCCTAGTACAAATGGAACGTACAAGAGTCATTCATTCATGATCTATACATTGTATTACATACTATATGAAGAGATACTAGTACATAATATAATGAAGAGATACTATTACATACTATAATGAGGAGAGACTATTACATATTATAATGAGTAGATACTATTATATACGTACGGGACTAACCATTCTACACCCAGCTTTAGCTACAGAGGAAAATGCACATCGACGGATTCTACGTTATACTATTTGGCAAGTTAATCTGCCGTGTTTATCCTCTAGTACCAAAGGATAATGTTACAATAATTATATTAATGTTCCATTATTACCTTTATTTGTGACACTTCACATAATCGTGAGAGACTAGATTTGAATAATAATAGTTTTCAAGGGAAAAATCTTCACTTATGTAGAGGTTCAAACCTTCAAACAGTCGGGTCTTGAAAGACTACTTTTCAAACAGACGGGTCGTGGGAGAAGACTACTTTCAAAACAGTCGGGTCTTGGTAGAAGACTACTTTCAAAACGTCGAGTCTTGGTAGAAGACTACTTTTTATACTCGTAGGAAATAATGGGATTTCCTAGGGTTCATACTTATACGAACTTTTCATCAAACATTTACAAGTCTTTCTTTACAGTTTTACAAATCAAAAGACACTAAATACTATAATTCACCAGCTTAAATGCTGATCTATACTTTCAAATAACTTGGTATTCCCCAGGGTCATCAGTAGATAGTACCGGTGACAGGTTTTTGAGAAGACGGAGCACAGACAAGACTCGTCTTTTATTTGATCATTCATTTTTGTGTCCTATACATTACAAAGAACACACATGTATTAAAATATATATTTATGCAATGGAAGATGTTTTTTTACTTGTTACTATTACTGTGTTGTGATACTATATATGACGTCCTCCGTCCCCGCCCCAGAACGTTTCCGCCGTTCTCGTTTTGGGTGAGGGGGGTGGGGGGGGGTGACATTGGTAGCAGAGCATTGTTTATAGTGACATGAGTATATCAACCCCATAAAAGATATACTAACTATAAATACAATGGGATTAAAATACTCTGACCAAGAGTTGATATTTTAGATAATAAAATATTTAAACTAAGTATACAATACCTGCATTCATACTAACAAATCTAATGTCACAGACAAATACAAAATAGTACGATTGTTGAATATCACAAGTAAGCTCGGGATTATTGTCAGTCCTGGGAGTGGCATAACCTGATCAACCCTATGCTGGTCCGAGGAGTGAATTAGCACATGCCGAAGAATGGTTGTGATGTGGCAACAAGTCTAAAAACTTACCAACACTACCACAATGAGAACTCTAGAACAGAACATAAGTCTAAGATACTATAGGAGTATTTTGTGTTACTATAATGAGTTACTTGAAACTAAAAAGATCTTCATTACTAGGTCATAGTTGCTAAGTGGTACAACTAAGGTTATATTAACTGGAGGACATAGACTTAGAATCTGTGAATTTTTGCTTTAACCCTGTTCCTTGGGATTTGGAGTTAGGCACTATTCGAAGGCCTATCCTGTTTTGATTACATATAACTAGTGCACTTTACAAATAGTGAAGTAACTAATGAAGGTTATCTAATAATTATCTAGATAGTTCGTCTAATAATTATTTCCTTACCCCTACTTCTCACGTTGAGATTTCTCAACATAAAGAAATACTTTTAAGTAATAAAAAAGATTTAGTGCATATAAATTTCAGAATTCTACAAGCACAAAATAAACATACTCACGAATATATACCAACCATGGTTAATATACGTAAGTACCTCCTTCATAGGCAAAAAAATGCGTCAAGAACACCTTGATAAAGCTTTAAACTCAGTTTCAGAACTCAGAAAAAGGATTTTTACTTGTTAACATTTCTTAAAATGAATAAAGAAATTTTCAACAATTCTGAAGAAAATGATTCAGAAGAAAAACAAATCCTAACTTATGTTGAGGATGAAGACGGCTTTCATGCAAACCTCTTAATAAAACAAGACCTTCTCTCTCGAGTTAAGAAAACAGATTTAAAAATAAAGAAAGAAAACATTTTCAAAAATGTTCCTTCTAAACTTAGTATTTTAAATCCACTTAAAAGAAAAAATGAAATTTTCTACTTTGTTAGTACTAAAGAAATGTCTGTAGACATAAAAGACACAATAGGAGCTGTCTTTCTACCCCTTTTAACTAAAGAACAAATAAACAATAACTTGAAAAGTATTCCAGTTGAGATTAGATCAAAAATAAGAATGGTCCATATCGGAGCTGTAAAATTTTTGATAAAATCCCAATTCCAAGCAGGAATAAATTCTCCCATAAAAATGGCCTTAATTGACAACAGAATTACTGACAGACAGGACTGCATCTTAGGTGCTGCTAGGGGAAACCTTGCTTACCAAAAATTTATGTTTCAGTCTATCCAAAATTTGCTCTGGATTTGAAATCTGCAAATATAGATAAAACTTTATCTTTTATACATCACTTTGAAAGAAGTGACCTTATGAACCCAGGTGATAAACCATTCACCATAACCTATCTCATAGGATATGCCCTGACCAATAGTCACCATAGCATAGACTACAAGAAAGACGAGTACATCGAACTTGATGATGTCTTTTCAGAAATAGGCCATGTCAAAGATAAACAATTCTGCGACATAAATCCTCAAGAAAACTCTTGGTTTTTAAATATAGCTAGAAACAAAAAAGCTCTAGGAGAAACTCTTAGACCAAGAATTTCTATGGATTCACTCCATATAGGAGAAAGCTCAGAAAGAAAAGATAGTAACTTGATAAGAAACATGTCTTTAAAATTTGATAGTCTACGTCAGAATATCAAACAAATCTCTGAAGTTATAAATGAGTAATAAAATAGATTTTCCTCATTTTTATAAAAAAGGTAAAACAGTAAAATTAAACTCTTGACGACAATACTGAAAAGAAAGAATACATTTCTCTACTTCTGGAAAAGCTGGTATTCAAAAATTGTAAATCATTGCAATAATCTCAACCAGATCATTGCAAGATGTCTCTTAAAAACTTCAAAAAGAAGCCATTACCTTGGTATTTCAAAAGATATTTCTAAAGATATTTCAAAAAATAAAATACCTTTTAACCAATTTAAAAACGATTTAGCCTTTTTGGTTAAAAACAATCTTGATAAAAATGATTTTGAAAAATTCTTCGAAGTTATTGAAAGGCAAAATAAATTAACTATCAAGCTAACCCAGTCTATTGACAAACATTCTATTCTTTTAGAAAACTCTTTAAAAAACAACCATTTTGTTGAAGAAGTCGCCAAAAAGGCAAATATTGAAGGCACTCTTAAGGAAAACAACCTTAAGATCACTAATATACAAGATCAGTTAAAACAACTAATAGGATGACCTCGATTCCCGAGCTCAATAGATCAATCAACCTCCTTAATGAAAAAATAGATGGGCTGATCATAAACTTTGACTTAACAGTCAATAAATACGTAACCACTACACAGTTGGAAGTAGGATCTATAAAAATTATTGCAGACTTTACTAAAGAGTTATCTGAAAAGATTGACTCTTGCCCTTGTAATAAAGACATTCTTGAACACATCAAGAATATTTCCATCATAGAGCAAAAAACCAAACCTGGAAAATATTCAGGTCTTAAGAAATACTCACCTCCCAATCCTAGTATTGGAAACCCTGACTTAGGAAGCTCAAAAGACTTCCAGAAAATTGATATTTTCAAAAAAGAGCAAAAATGAAAGAAACAATCTCTGAGAAACTTGAGAAATATTTCTTTAACCTTCAATATGAAGATTATGATAAGGCTGACCAAAAACTTATTCAGCTTTTATCTTTAGAAACTAAAGAATGCGAAGAATTGTATCAAAAAGAACCCAAACTTTTTGATCAATATTTTAGAATGACTAAAATAGATGAACCTGATACTGAATCAGAACAAGAAGATAACTTTAAAACTAATACAAAGACTGTTAAGTTCGAATATTCAGATATGGAAGATGATGAAGCAGAATCTTCTTATACAGCCACAAGAAGAGGCAATAAAAAGAAATATGAGTTCAAAATGCCTGTACACAATGGTATTCCAGATAGTAGCAAAGGACCCAATACGATCAATATACTCAATATTGATTGTATCCAAGATCTAAAACTCAGAGAAAGAGTTGTAGAAAAATGGGTTACTGAGATTTCACTAATCTTACAGACAAACCCAGATGAATTTGAAAAAGCAAAAATGTTCTTCTACTTTTAGAACACAAAACTGATGGAATTGTGCAAAAGTTCCTAAGAAACAATAATTGGAATGAAGATTTGCATGGTTAAGATCTTTTTGATAATCTCATAAATGTCATATACACTACTTTCTTAGGTCTTGATTATATTTCTAACAAAGACTTACCATTAATAAGAAAGTTGACGTAGCAAGAGTTTCAATGACAAAACTCCAATTACATGATATTAGTCTTCTCGACAAATACACATGTATGTATGAATCATATCTATATGATATTCCCCAGAGAAGTGAATATGCACAATGGATATCTGCTTATCTAATGAAAATTCCAATTATTGGAGAAATCTGTACTGAAAGATGGAAAAAAGAAGCTACTGGAGAAATCCAGCAAACCAGTCTTTCTTATGCAACAAAAATTGCAAAGGAAGAAATTGATAGAATCTGTCAAGACAGATATAAACAACAAAAGCTCAAAACAATAAGTAAAGATTGTTGTAGCATTCTCTCTGATTTCAAAAACTTTGATATTGGAAGGAAAACTTATACTAAGAAAAATATAAATAAACAAAAAGAAATACAAATCTTTCTGGAAAAAGAAAAGAAGAAAATTTTCACCAGGAAAATACTTCAAAAAACCTTCAAAAGAATCACCTAAGAAGACTACTTCCTGTCCACAAGGAAAGAAAAAATGTAGATGTTGGATCTGCAATGAAGAAGGACACTATGCCAATGAATGTCCAAATAGAAAAAAATACCCTGACAAAGTCAAGGTTTTACAAACCGCTAATAATGGAGGTTATGAAGCTCTTGAAGAGGAGTATGAAGGTATACAACATGTCTTTACATTTCATGTTGAAACTGATTCTTCATCAAATTCTGATGAAAACGAATCAACCACGGATGACTCAGACTAGTCTCATACAGGCTCCACTTTTTAGGGAGGAGGAGTTTAACCATTTTTGCGCAAACCTCCAGAAGATTAATGATTCCCTTATCATGAATCTCACTAATCCAAACTCTATTTATGTTTCTGCCTTCCTTAACTTTAAAGGATATAAGAAATTTAGAGTACATTGTTTTGTAGACACAGGTGCATCTTTATGTCTTGCAAGCAAATTCATCATTCCGGATGAGCTCTGGGAAAATGCTCCCAAAGAAATTAGTGCCACTATTGCAAATGGTGAAACCATAAAGATAAATAAAGTTTGTAGAAATATTAATCTCGAACTTTCAGGAGAACATTTCAACGTTCCCACTATTTACCAACAAAATTCAGGAATTGATATCATAATTGGTAACAACTTTTGTCAAGTTTATGGACCATTTATACAATGGATAGATAGAATTGCCTTTCATCTTAATAATGATATGGTAATTATAAAAAAGGTTACAGAAGCCTATAGCAAAGGAAAACCAGGTTTTCTTGAAACTCAAGAAAAAGGCTCTAAAGAAAAAACAAATTCCGGGTACTAATATAACCCAAGAAGGAATTAATAAAGAAAGGATTATTTCTATTCAAACTACCAGGTTCAAACAGATTGAAGATCTTCTTGAAAAAGTTTGTTCTGAAAATCCTATTGATCCAGATAAAACCAAAGGATGGATGAAAGCTTCAATTAAGCTCATTAATCCCAAAACGGTTATTAGAGAAAAACCTATGGTTTACTCTCTACAAGATAGAGAAGAATTCTCCAAACAAATCAAGGAATTACTTGATATGAGACTAATTATAGAATCAAAATCCCCTCATATGTCCCCTGCCTTTCTTGTCAATAAAGAAGCAGAAAAAGAAGAGGAAAGAAGCGCATGGTTGTCAACTACAAAGCAATCAATGATGCAACTATTGGAGACTCACATAATCTTCCCAATATGCACGAACTTTTGACTCTTCTACGAGGAAAAAATATGTATTCAAGTTTTGACTGCAAGTCAGGTTTCTGGCAAGTCCTACTTGATGAAGAATCGCAGCTTCTCACTGCCTTCACATGTCCTGATGGACTCTTTCAATGGAAAGTACTACCCTTTGGGCTTAAACAAGCTCCTAGTATTTTTCAAAGACACATGCAGAACGCCCTTCGAGGACTTGAAGGTTTCTGTACTGTATACGTTGATGACATCATGGTCTTCAGCAAAAATGAACAAGAGCACTATGTTCATGTTACACAGGTTCTCAGAACCATTTTAAAATATGGAATAATACTTTCAAAAAAGAAAGCTCATCTTTTCAAAACAAAAATTAATTTTTTGGGTTTAGAAATAAATGAGGGTACTCATTGTCCTCAAAAGCATATTCTTGAACATTTACATGACTTTCCAAATGTTTTAGAAGACAAAAACAACTGCAAAGATTTCTTGGTGTTTTAACTTATGCTGAAACATATATTGAAAAACTTGCAGCCATGAGAAAACCTTTACAGGTAAAATTGAAAAAAGATGTCATCTGGAATTGGTCAAATGCTGATACAGACTACATCAAAAAGATAAAGAAAGTTTTAATCAATTTTCAAAACTTTATCTTCCAAACATTGAAGACAGTTTAATTATTGAAACTGATGCTTCTGATGAATTTTGGGGAGGTGTTTTAAAAGCTAAAAACCCCAAAAACGAAGAACAAATTTGCAGGTACACCTCTGGCAGTTTCAAGGCAGCCGAGAAAAACTACCATAGCAATGAAAAAGAATTACTCGCTGTAAAAAGAGTTATTACAAAATTCTCTGTATATTTAACACCAGTAAATTTCCTGGTTCGTACAGATAATAAAATTCTTACTTATTTCCTCCGAACTAAGATTGCAGGAGACAACAAATTAGGCCGACTAATACGTTGGCAAGAGTGGTTCTCACGATATACTTTCACTGTTGAACATCTCGCAGGAAATAAAAATGTACTGGCAGACTGCCTCACCCGTGACTTCAGGTATACCTTACATCATCCATGATCTCACTTGCTCCTCTCGAGCCCTATAAAAGGATATGATCCTCATGACATATTTCCTCACAAAAACTTCACCTACAAAAAGAGAGGGGGAGATTAGAGAGAAAAGTAAACAAAAATTGAGTTACAAAAATGGAAGACCTCAACACTTTGAGGATAAAGAAACAAATGCTCCTCATTGAGCTATCTGCAATTGAGCAGAAAATCAACTTGTATGAACAAGTAACAACGGTCACCAATGTACCGGAAAGCGAAAGCTTAAAAACAAAGGCTATTCCAGTGCAAACGACACCTGGTAAAGAATCGACAAATCCGTTGAAAGCTGATGCTTTGCTAAAAAGCATAATAAAGGAGACAGCTACTCCTCTTCCTGAAGGAAAAACTAGCTTATTGGTTAATCCAATCCTTGTACTGAAGGAATCAGTAAAATGACAACTTTGTCACCCACCAACAAATCTGTGCAGGAGTTACACCAGATTACAAAAAAGCTCTTAACAAAGAAGCTGAAAGATTTTATGTAATCTACAAAGGACCACATGCCGGTGTTCATACTGACTGGGGAATTACAGAAACTTTCTGTAAAGGTGATAAAGTTACTTGCAAAAAATTCAGAAATGAAACATCTGCAAGATTAAGCCTTGCCACCTATCAAGATGATACAAGCAAACTAACCAACCACTTCTTCGACCAAAAATCCAAAAAGTCAAAGAAGCTCACAGAGACCAAAGGTTTGACGTTCAACAAACGGTTAACTATCCTGAAATCTCTTTTGAAGATTTCAGAACAATCTGGAAGAAAGCAAGAGCTGCATGCCCAGAAGATCTTATTTATGAAAAGTTTTTCACTACGGATAAGAAGACAAAAAGTCTGTTCAACTTCCTCGAAGGAGCAGATGCAAATTTAGTCTACCAAGCCTTTCAAGCTGGACTAATCGACAATATCTACCCAAGTTGCAACCTTCAAGAACTCAAATTCTTCCCAAGCAGCATGGTAGAATCCATTAAGAACTTTCGAAAGAAAGTACTTAAAGCAAAAGATAACCCGATCTACATCAGATGCATCTCTTCACTCCCAGAATGGATTCAAGAATCAACTCTTTCTTCATACCATTTTTTGGAATTGGTCTTTCTAAAACCAATAGAGAAATTGAACAATCTCGACCAATGGAGGATAAAGATCTACCATTCACAGAAATTCTTCATCCCAATCGCATCAATGGTTAAGAAGAATCTCAGAAAAAATCATTGAGATTATCTCTGGTTCAAAAAGAAGATTAATTATACCAACTCACATTGTATAATTACAAGCTGGAGTTACAACAACACCAGTCAAGAAGATCTTCGTCAAGCCTCTATGTTTGGCGAAAAATCATGAACAATACCATGGAAGTCTCCAACGCTACACACCAACACTTCTGCCGACATGCGAACAACTTTTCGAAGAACATCTCTGTCACTTTTGCGAAAGCAAAGATTCGGAGACAAAGGAGGGCCCTCCTCTGAAGATGACAAATCCTCATCATCTTAATAGAAGATGCTCCGCACACTTCCATCCACTCAGAAAAATAATGGGTCTTACCTTTTAGAGATGCCTTCCAGCTATCCACAATAATGTAATTCGTTAGTGGAGAGAAACGTCATGCCTGACGTAACAAACAATTATCAGACCCTCTTAATGTATCTAGAAACTGAGAGTTATGTTTTCATTAAGGGCATCGCAAGAACGAGTGCAAAAAAAAAAACACTCTCTATCTTATAAATTTTTAATGTCTTGTGAGTAAAATCTCCCTTAGAGGGGAGAAGATGTAAAATATTGTAAGAGTACTCCCATCTTGGGAGATCTTTTATCAATAAATCCTTGTTTTGTTATACTTGAGTGTTCATACAAAATAGAGTAATGAAACCTGTAAGTGACAGAGTGTCAGGTCGATGATGGTCAACCGTACCGCAGGCATGAGGCCAACAGGGAAAGCAACCACATAGACCAAAGGATGACACAGGCTGGCTTGAATAGTTTCTATCTATGTAAGTAATACTCCTACTCCAAAACACTTATTGATTAAATGAGTTTTCTCTTTACAATTTTTGCATCTATTCCCTTCTTCTTGTCAAAAAAAACAAGAAAACCGCACACACACGCCTACTCAGAAAAACCGCACAACCCCACTGGTATCAGAGCCTTTGTTAAAATGGCATTACATTATAATGAAACACTTTACAGTGGAATCATTGCAATAATCTCAACCAGATCATTGCAAGATGTCTCTTAAAAACTTCAAAAATAAGCCATTACCTTGGTATTTCAAAAGATATTTCTAAAGATATTTCAAAAAATAAAATACCTTTTAACCAATTTAAAAACGATTTAGCCATTTTGGTTAAAAACAATCTTGATAAAAATGATTTTGAAAAATTCTTCGAAGTTATTGAAAGGCAAAATAAATTAACTATCAAGCTAACCCAGTCTATTGACAAACATTCTATTCTTTTAGAAAACTCTTTAAAAAACAACCATTTTGTTGAAGAAGTCGCCAAAAAGGCAAATATTGAAGGCACTCTTAAGGAAAACAACCTTAAGATCACTAATATACAAGATCAGTTAAAACAACTAATAGGATGACCTCGATTCCCGAGCTCAATAGATCAATCAACCTCCTTAATGAAAAAATAGATGGGCTGATCATAAACTTTGACTTAACAGTCAATAAATACGTAACCACTACACAGTTGGAAGTAGCATCTGCAAAAATTATTGCAGACATTACTAAAGAGTTATCTGAAAAGATTGACTCTTGCCCTTGTAATAAAGACATTCTTGAACACATCAAGAATATTTCCATCATAGAGCAAAAACAACAAACCTGGAAAAATTCAGGTCTTAAGAAATACTCACCTCCCAATCCTAGTATTGGAAACCCTGACTTAGGAAGCTCAAAAGACTCCCAGAAAATTGATATTTTCAAAAAAGAGCAAAAATGAAAGAAACAATCTCTGAGAAACTTGAGAAATATTTCTTTAACCTTCAATATGAAGATTATGATAAGGCTGACCAAAAACTTATTCAGCTTTTATCTTTAGAAACTAAAGAATGCGAAGAATTGTATCAAAAAGAACCCAAACTTTTTGATCAATATTTTAGAATGACTAAAATAGATGAACCTGATACTGAATCAGAACAAGAAGATAACTTTAAAACTAATACAAAGACTGTTAAGTTCGAATATTCAGATATGGAAGATGATGAAGCAGAATCTTCTTATACAGCCACAAGAAGAGGCAATAAAAAGAAATATGAGTTCAAAATGCCTGTACACAATGGTATTCCAGATAGTAGCAAAGGACCCAATACGATCAATATACTCAATATTGATTGTATCCAAGATCTAAAACTCAGAGAAAGAGTTGTAGAAAAATGGGTTACTGAGATTTCACTAATCTTACAGACAAACCCAGATGAATTTGAAAAAGCAAAAAATGTTCTTCTACTTTTAGAACACAAAACTGATGGAATTGTGCAAAAGTTCCTAAGAAACAATAATTGGAATGAAGATTTGCATGGTTCAGATCTTTTTGATAATCTCATAAATGTCATATACACTACTTTCTTAGGTCTTGATTATATTTCTAATAAAGACTTTACCATTAATAAGAAAGTTGACGTAGCAAGAGTTTCAATGACAAAACTCCAATTACATGATATTAGTCTTCTCGACAAATACACATGTATGTATGAATCATATCTATATGATATTCCCCAGAGAAGTGAATATGCACAATGGATATCTGCTTATCTAATGAAAATTCCAATTATTGGAGAAATCTGTACTGAAAGATGGAAAAAAGAAGCTACTGGAGAAATCCAGCAAACCAGTCTTTCTTATGCAACAAAAATTGCAAAGGAAGAAATTGATAGAATCTGTCAAGACAGATATAAACAACAAAAGCTCAAAACAATAAGTAAAGATTGTTGTAGCATTCTCTCTGATTTCAAAAACTTTGATATTGGAAGGAAAACTTATACTAAGAAAAAATAAAAACAAAAAGAAATACAAATCTTTCTGGAAAAAGAAAAGAAGAAAATTTTCACCAGGAAAATACTTCAAAAAACCTTCAAAAGAATCACCTAAGAAGACTACTTCCTGTCCACAAGGAAAGAAAAAATGTAGATGTTGGATCTGCAATGAAGAAGGACACTATGCCAATGAATGTCCAAATAGAAAAAAATACCCTGACAAAGTCAAGGTTTTACAAACCGCTAATAATGGAGGTTATGAAGCTCTTGAAGAGGAGTATGAAGGTATACAACATGTCTTTACATTTCATGTTGAAACTGATTCTTCATCAAATTCTGATGAAAACGAATCAACCACGGATGACTCAGACTAGTCTCATACAGGCTCCACTTTTTAGGGAGGAGGAGTTTAACCATTTTTGCGCAAACCTCCAGAAGATTAATGATTCCCTTATCATGAATCTCACTAATCCAAACTCTATTTATGTTTCTGCCTTCCTTAACTTTAAAGGATATAAGAAATTTAGAGTACATTGTTTTGTAGACACAGGTGCATCTTTATGTCTTGCAAGCAAATTCATCATTCCGGATGAGCTCTGGGAAAATGCTCCCAAAGAAATTAGTGCCACTATTGCAAATGGTGAAACCATAAAGATAAATAAAGTTTGTAGAAATATTAATCTCGAACTTTCAGGAGAACATTTCAACGTTCCCACTATTTACCAACAAAATTCAGGAATTGATATCATAATTGGTAACAACTTTTGTCAAGTTTATGGACCATTTATACAATGGATAGATAGAATTGCCTTTCATCTTAATAATGATATGGTAATTATAAAAAAGGTTACAGAAGCCTATAGCAAAGGAAAACCAGGTTTTCTTGAAACTCAAGAAAAAGGCTCTAAAGAAAAACAAATTCCGGGTACTAATATAACCCAAAAGGAATTAATAAAGAAAGGATTATTTCTATTCAAACTACCAGGTTCAAACAGATTGAAGATCTTCTTGAAAAAGTTTGTTCTGAAAATCCTATTGATCCAGATAAAACCAAAGGATGGATGAAAGCTTCAATTAAGCTCATTAATCCCAAAACGGTTATTAGAGAAAAACCTATGGTTTACTCTCTACAAGATAGAGAAGAATTCTCCAAACAAATCAAGGAATTACTTGATATGAGACTAATTATAGAATCAAAATCCCCTCATATGTCCCCTGCCTTTCTTGTCAATAAAGAAGCAGAAAAAAGAAGAGGAAAGAAGCGCATGGTTGTCAACTACAAAGCAATCAATGATGCAACTATTGGAGACTCACATAATCTTCCCAATATGCACGAACTTTTGACTCTTCTACGAGGAAAAATATGTATTCAAGTTTTGACTGCAAGTCAGGTTTCTGGCAAGTCCTACTTGATGAAGAATCGCAGCTTCTCACTGCCTTCACATGTCCTGATGGACTCTTTCAATGGAAAGTACTACCCTTTGGGCTTAAACAAGCTCCTAGTATTTTTCAAAGACACATGCAGAACGCCCTTCGAGGACTTGAAGGTTTCTGTACTGTATACGTTGATGACATCATGGTCTTCAGCAAAAATGAACAAGAGCACTATGTTCATGTTACACAGGTTCTCAGAACCATTTTAAAATATGGAATAATACTTTCAAAAAAGAAAGCTCATCTTTTCAAAACAAAAATTAATTTTTTGGGTTTAGAAATAAATGAGGGTACTCATTGTCCTCAAAAGCATATTCTTGAACATTTACATGACTTTCCAAATGTTTTAGAAGACAAAAAACAACTGCAAAGATTTCTTGGTGTTTTAACTTATGCTGAAACATATATTGAAAAACTTGCAGCCATGAGAAAACCTTTACAGGTAAAATTGAAAAAAAGATGTCATCTGGAATTGGTCAAATGCTGATACAGACTACATCAAAAAGATAAAGAAAGTTTTAATCAATTTTCCAAAACTTTATCTTCCAAACATTGAAGACAGTTTAATTATTGAAACTGATGCTTCTGATGAATTTTGGGGAGGTGTTTTAAAAGCTAAAACCCCAAAAACGAAGAACAAATTTGCAGGTACACCTCTGGCAGTTTCAAGGCAGCCGAGAAAAACTACCATAGCAATGAAAAAGAATTACTCGCTGTAAAAGAGTTATTACAAAATTCTCTGTATATTTAACACCAGTAAATTTCCTGGTTCGTACAGATAATAAAAATTTTACTTATTTCCTCCGAACTAAGATTGCAGGAGACAACAAATTAGGCCGACTAATACGTTGGCAAGAGTGGTTCTCACGATATACTTTCACTGTTGAACATCTCGCAGGAAATAAAAATGTACTGGCAGACTGCCTCACCCGTGACTTCAGGTATACCTTACATCATCCATGATCTCACTTGCTCCTCTCGAGCCCTATAAAAGGATATGATCCTCATGACATATCCTCCCTCACAAAAAACTTCACCTAAAAAAAGAGAGGGGGAGATTAGAGAGAAAAGTAAACAAAAATTGAGTTTACAAAAATGGAAGACCTCAACACTTTGAGGATAAAGAAACAAATGCTCCTCATTGAGCTATCTGCAATTGAGCAGAAAATCAACTTGTATGAACAAGTAACAACGGTCACCAATGTACCGGAAAGCGAAAGCTTAAAAACAAAGGCTATTCCAGTGCAAACGGCACCTGGTAAAGAATCGACAAATCCGTTGAAAGCTGATGCTTTGCTAAAAAGCATAATAAAGGAGACAGCTACTCCTCTTCCTGAAGGAAAAACTAGCTTATTGGTTAACCCCAATCCTTGTACTGAAGGAATCAGTAAAATGACAACTTTGTCACCCACCAACAAATCTGTGCAGGAGTTTACACCAGATTACAAAAAAGCTCTTAACAAAGAAGCTGAAAGATTTTCTACAAAGGACCACATGCCGGTGTTCATACTGACTGGGGAATTACAGAAACTTTCTGTAAAGCTGATAAAGTTACTTGCAAAAAATTCAGAAATGAAGCATCTGCAAGATTAAGCCTTGCCACCTATCAAGATGATACAAGCAAAACTAACCAACCACTTCTTCGACCAAAAATCCAAAAAGTCAAAGAAGCTCACAGAGACCAAAGGTTTGACGTTCCAATTGACGTTCAACAAACGGTTAACTATCCTGAAATCTCTTTTGAAGATTTCAGAACAATCTGGAAGAAAGCAAGAGCTGCATGCCCAGAAGATCTTATTTATGAAAAGTTTTTCACTACGGATAAGAAGACAAAAAGTCTGTTCAACTTCCTCGAAGGAGCAGATGCAAATTTAGTCTACCAAGCCTTTCAAGCTGGACTAATCGACAATATCTACCCAAGTTGCAACCTTCAAGAACTCAAATTCTTCCCAAGCAGCATGGTAGAATCCATTAAGAACTTTCGAAAGAAAGTACTTAAAGCAAAAGATAACCCGATCTACATCAGATGCATCTCTTCACTCCCAGAATGGATTCAAGAATCAACTCTTTCTTCATACCATTTTCTGGAAATTGGTCTTTCTAAAACCAATAGAGAAATTGAACAATCTCGACCAATGGAGGATAAAGATCTACCATTCACAGAAATTCTTCATCCCAATCGCATCAATGGTTAAGAAGAATCTCAGAAAAAATCATTGAGATTATCTCTGGTTCAAAAAAGAAGATTAATTATACCAACTCACATTGTATAATTACAAGCTGGAGTTACAACAACACCAGTCAAGAAGATCTTCGTCAAGCCTCTATGTTTGGCGAAAAATTCATGAACAATACCATGGAAGTCTCCAACGCTACACACCAACACTTCTGCCGACATGCAGAACAACTTTTCGAAGAACATCTCTGTCACTTTTGCGAAAGCAAAGATTCGGAGACAAAGGAGGGGCCCTCCTCTGAAGATGACAAATCCTCATCATCTTAATAGAAGATGCTCCGCACACTTCCATCCACTCAGAAAAATAATGCGTCTTACCTTTTAGAGATGCCTTCCAGCTATCCACAATAATGTAATTCGTTAGTGGAGAGAAACGTCATGCCTGACGTAACAAACAATTATCAGACCCTCTCAATGTATCTATAAATTGAGAGTTATGTTTTCATTAAGGGCATCGCAAGAACGAGTGCAAAAAAAAACACTCTCTATCTTATAAATTTTTAATGTCTTGTGAGTAAAATCTCCCTTAGAGGGGAGAAGATGTAAAATATTGTAAGAGTACTCCCATCTTGGGAGCTCTTTTATCAATAAATCCATGTTTTGTTATACTTGAGTGTTCATACAAATAGAGTAATGAAACCTGTAAGTGACAGAGTGTCAGGTCGACGATGGTCAACAGTACCGCAGGCATGAGGCCAACAGGGAAAGCAACCACACAGACCAAAGGATGACACAGGCTGGCTTGAATAGTTTCTATCTATGTAAGTAATACTCCTACTCCAAAACACTTATTGATTAAATGAGTTTTCTCTTTACAATTTTTGCATCTATTCCCTTCTTCTTGTCAAAAAAAAAAAACAAAAACCGCACACACACGCCTACTCAGAAAACCGCACACCCCAACTGGTATCAGAGCCTTTGTTAAAATGGCATTACATTATAATGAAACACTTTACAGTGGAATTTTCGATAAAATTCGTAATAAAGAGAATGAGATTTCTCAACATAAAGAAATACTTTTAAGTAATAAAAAAGATTTAGTGCATATAAATTTCAGAATTCTACAAGCACAAAATAAACATACTCACGAATATATACCAACCATGGTTAATATACGTAAGTACCTCCTTCATAGGCAAAAAATGCATCAAGAACACCTTGATAAAGCTTTAAACTCAGTTTCAGAACTCAGAAAAGGATTTTAACTTGTTAACATTTCTTAAAATGAATAAAGAAATTTTCAACAATTCTGAAGAAAATGATTCAGAAGAAAAACAAATCCTAACTTATGTTGAGGATGAAGACGGCTTTCATGCAAACCTCTTAATAAAACAAGACCTTCTCTCTCGAGT